GAGTCTAGTGTACCATTTCTCTCCTCCCAAAGGAAACTATATACATTTCAGCATTCTTTTGAAGGGGGTGGGAACTTCTGAAATATTTAAAGTGGAGGATTAGATTTCTGCTCTAGAAAACCAATTCAGGCAGCAAGAAATACATTTTAGAGTCCCAGCAAAAGAATCCTGTTAAATTTCAGGTTTTCTTTCTTTCTCATCACTTCCATACCCTCTCCACCTTCTGCCCCCTAACCTGGAAAATTCTTGGTGAAATCTTCAAGATTCAGCACAAGCTCAACTCAAGGCTTCTTGGCACCACCCACCCCTTTACACCTGCAATGCATCAGTTCCTCTTAGATACAGCTCTAGCAGGTGTATAAAACACCTACTAGAACTTCTTTATAGGTTTCTCTCCCTCACTAGACGAGTACTACCTGTTCTTATTTATTAGTTTTTGTAGCCAAGTATCATGCAGTGGTGACCCATAGAAGAGTTTCTGTATGCATGAATCTATCTGAAAAAATTGGCTTATCTTCAAGTAGTATAGCTGAAATGCCCCAATAAGGAGAATATTAATAGAAACAGTACACCCAATATGAACGCAAATGTCTCCAAAATTTGAAGCTATTATGCAAAACAGAAATGTTTTTATGGTTGGCTACGGAGTGTCAGGAGGACACAAAAACAAATGTAATTCTTTTCTTGGAAACTTAAATTATGTTTTGGATAATTCGACTTGCTCAAAAATATTTTGTATCTGTTGCACATACAGCTCTTTGCAGGGTTCCTAAAGGCATTACTTTATTTCAGGGCTTCAGCCTTTTACAATGTTGTTCCCACCACCAAGAATGTCCTATAGCCCAACCCCCCCTCCACACACCATACACACCCAGAGACACCTTCTCCATCCACGTTTCTTTCAAAACTCAATCTTTCTGGGAACCATCTGAGTTAATCCCACCTTCTAAGCGCGCCTGTGAGGTGCCACTTCTGTCTTCCTACAGTACCACAATACATAATTCAAATCCATATTTTTGGATCATTTGAGTATAGTATTAAATATCATCAAAAATTTATTATTCATAAGAAACTATTTACCATGCTCTGCAAATGCAAAATGCACATCTTCTATAACACTAGGGACTTTTACATTTTTGTCGTCTCCCTCCACCCCAACTCTGGCCCCTTCTTCAAACATAGCTCTAAGCCTTGCCAGTACTTGGCACTCAGTAAACAGCTGTTAACAGAATGAATGAAGTTAACTGTATACAGAGTGAATGAATGAATCTATCCTTAAAAGGCCATGCCAAAATTGCAGCTAAAGGATCATCCTATTTATTAAACAACAATAATCACACTAAGGCCAATACTCTATAAAAACTTTTGTTTTAATGGTTTGACTTGTATCAATCTTTCAATTAGCAATAATCCCGCCTCGGATAAACCTCATTGGCTCGATACTGCCACTGCGCAAAGCTGACTTGTATCAATTTTTACTCATCTTGGTCAAACTAACTACCAGTCACCCTTGCAGTATCTGCTTTAGATGTCCTTCCTTTATGCTTCCTAAGCATCCATGCATATAATTCCATCAAGGTCCAAACCATAGTTTGGAAAGTTGTTTATTGCTCCCACCAGGTCACAAACTCCTTTGAGGAGGCAGGCATGTGTCTTAGGCATTTCTATGCCTTAGTAAGCACAATACTTAGCCCAAAGTGGCTACTCATTATTCTGTCTGCTAAAGTAAAGAGAATTAACTAAGATTAATTAACAGGGAATTAATTAGTTTAACAGTCCTTACGGTTGTTCTGATAGATTATCTTAAAGTCATGATTTTATTTTTAGAACCATGATAAAACACTGATTTATACCCAAAGTATCCTGTACTGGATTTAGGAGAGTCAAGCAATAGGCTTAAGAAAAACTGGAGAAATTCTCCCTGAGACTTGGGAAAAGACTATCACGATTCAGTTTTATAAGCACCCACCTCTACCTATTTTGCAGAACCCCAGTGCTACACAGGAACATTGAAACCACTGGTATCTGTGGTTTTTACTGCCTCCAGCCACATTCTGACAAAATCCAAGAAACCTAACTTGAGCTGCATTCAAGGTTCTGTATACCATTTCAAGTTCAAGTATGTCAAAGCCAGTTTGTCTTCTGACTTAATTCCATCCATTCCATTCTTAATGCTATTCCATTCTCAAAAAGTCATGATACAGTTGTACCCTTGTTCCCAGTTGGGCCAAGTTCTGTGAAGGTCATTCCCTTCCATTCCTATAGTCACCACTACAGTATTCGCCCTTATACAGTCGACCCTTGAACAACATGGGTTTGAAATGTGTGGGTTAACTTATGCAAGAACTTTTTCTTCCAATATAGTACAGTATAGTCAATGTATTTTCTCTCTTATGATTTTAATATAACATTTTCTTCCCTCTAGCTTACTTTATTGTAAGATTCCAGTATGCAAGACATGTAACATACAAAACATGTGTTAATTGACTGTTTATGTTATTGGTAAAATGCCCAGTCAACAGGAGGCTATTAGTGGTTAAGTTCTGGGGGAGTCAAAAGTTATACACAGATTTTCCACTGCATGGGGGGTTGGTGCCTCTAAGCCTTGTGTTGTTCAAGGGTCAACTTTATTTCTATTTGGATCAGCCCAACAGACTAGAGTCTCTGTAGGCTTTCCTCTGTTTAATCCACTGGTCACAATGCTACCAAATTAATCTCCCTTTAAGTCAGTGGTTCAAAACATTGGATGATTCTATCATCACTTCCCTCCCCCTCCCCCCCCGACATTTGGTATTATCTGGAGACATTTCTGGTTGTCACAACTGGAGGAGTACTGTTGGAATCTGGTAGGTAGAAGCCAGGGATGATAAACATCCTATAATGCACAGGACAGCCCCTCCCACAACAAAGAATGATCTGGCTATGTATAGACCCTCCTGTTACCACGGACCAGTTTCCTCATCCATAAAATGGAGTTAAAGTACCTACATGAAAATGCTGTCCGGAAGGTTAAGTGAACCGCTGTATGGAGAGCACTGAGCACAGTGCCTACACACTGGGTACCTTCACGCATTAAAAAAAAATTGCTAAAGCTGTTACTTTTGTCTTTTTTCTCACAAAGAATGATTCTCACAGTAAAACGACTAGAATGGACATTGATAATAGAAGAGAAACTCATGAGGATTTAAAATAAACATCAATGAGGTGTTTTTCGGGGCCTGGCTAAATTATGTCAAATAATAAAAGCAAGCAAGGTGGCTGAACCATGGTTAGAGCAAGTGCTATTAGCCTGGAAAAATGTAACATCATTATCAAAAAATGCAGTAAACAGATTTAGAAAATTGTAGCTGATGCGCCAGCCATTGAAAAGAAAAGGTCCAAATGAAGATGTTATACACTCAGAAGAGACTACAAGGACCCAGAATCAGAGAATCCTGACATATTAACCTCTTTTCCTAGACAGATCTACTAAAATTGGGAAAACACCATTGATAGGATGTATCAGGAATGGTCTCTGAAATCTGACAGGGTTTTTCATGGTAGTTTTATGGAAACATGGCTTGGGTACAATGACAACTTGGTAGACTTATACTCACTGGAATAGCGGCACCAAAGGTGGTGCCTCGCCCAATCCACCACATAAGCACCCGCTTCTATTTCCTCTTCCAAAACCACTTCCTTCTGTTGCAACTGAGAACTTCCCCTCTACTGTCTGAGGTCAACCCCTCCAAAATATCCTAGACATGGCCTTCTTCAAGACCTGACTCTTGCAGTTAGCTCTTCTCTAACCTGGATCTCTACCACATCACTCCCAGCCAATTTCAATATGCCCTACCCCCGTCCACCCTAACCCTCCCTTGCCCTATAGTTTCTGCACACTTCTCAGCACACCTTGAGCCCTCAGAGTCAACCTTCTTAAAAGAGTTGTTCTAACAGTCTCCATTTTCTCACCTCTCAACTGATTTCTATTCCCATCACAGCTAAAATAGGCCAAATTCAAAGTTCCTTTCTGTCCTCGTTATGTTAAGTTTGAACTTGCCTTTAAGAAATCAAAGCAGAATGAAAAACAGAAGTACAGGAAAAAGGATGTCTGACTTGCAGCAGCAGAAACTTTAATCACAATAAATTCAGAATGAGTCATGCTCTTAGAAACCATAACAGAAATATGTTCACCCTGCTGGGTACAGGTCCTGTAACATTCAGATTTCAGTTCTGAGGAGGACGTCTTGCAAAATAAGACTCTCAAACTGTCATCAGTGCTTGAAGATGCAACCTGTTGCCCTGGGGAATAGGTGTGGGAAGTGTCGCCTGGCAAAGAGCAAGACCTTCTCCTGAATGAACACAACCTGAAAAATTTCATCTAAACTCTACAGACTCACGGAAGCTGACTGGCAGTTGAGCCAGTATTACAGCCTTGCATGTAGGAAGTGAGAAAACAATATCCGCACTTAAATCCAGGTTTTCTGACTCAGTTAAGTCCAGATTTTCTGACTCAAAAGTTCAGAATACTCAGGCACGTTTTATTAAAGTGGAGAAACCAGAGTTCGACCAAGCCACCACCACTTAACATGGGTGAAGGGGCTGCCAGACCTTGGATTCCTACCTCACCTGACTTTGTAAAAACGATGAATGGAAAGGGACCCATGATTAGCAATCACGAGACTTTCCACCATAACCCTCTTTGGGTGGCTTTTAATTTCTTTCGTTCTCCCCATTGCCCTCCTTCAGAGGGCGCCTCCCTACACCTGAAGGGCCCAAGGCGAAGATCTAATCTCGTCTGGAGGCCTTCCTACCTGCCCATAGAGCCCCGGGGGGTCACGGCGCGCACATCCAGAGCTTCCCTCCCAGTTCCTGATCGCCAGAAGCCATCAGAGTCGCGCCCCCAAACCCCTTCGCGGCTTGCCTCTGGGGATCAAGGCCGAGGACTAGAGGGCCGTCGGCCATGACTAAGCTGCAGAGTTCCCCCCGCCGCCTCCCCACGTCCCCCGGCCTCGGCTCACCCGCGTGGGACATGGGCGTGGTGAGGTTCCCGTGGCCCTCCTCGTTGTAGAGGACCACGGCCGAGGCGTTCCTCCGCGCCGCCACCAGCACCTTGTCCTTGAAGGTGCAGCCCCCGCGCGCCACCAGGGCGACCCAGGGCGCGTCCCCCCGGCCGCCGGGCGCTGGCACGAGGAAGCGAGTGTCGGACGCGCAGCCCTCGGGGTCGCGGTCCGCAGCGCGCGGGACGCCCACCAGGCCCTGCGCGCCCTCCTTGGGCGAGCTGTCGCCGAAGCGGCCGCTCTCCGAGACGCTCCACACGGTGCGGTTCGTGTGCGGGTCCACGTACTCGGTGCTCACCACGGCCGAGTACCACTCGAGCGCCCGGCCCCTGGCCCCGGGCGCGTATAGGGCCAGCACTAGCAGCGCCAGCGCGCCGCGGGCCCCGACGCCGGCCTCGGGCCGCCGCCGCCACGCCATGGCCCCACCGCCGGGCTGACGAGGAGAAGTCCGCGGCTGCAGCTGCGCGCGTGCGAGGCCGCTGAAAAGCGTAAAAAAGCTGGGGCTTGCCGCCGAGTGGGCGGAGAGCCAGGCCGGGTGGCGGGCGGGGCCGCGGCGCACGCGCACCTGGCGGAGCGGGGGGAGGGGGCGGAGACTGGGGCGGAGACTGGGGCGGGGCCTTCCCTGGCCCTTCCCCGCCCGGACCCCGGTGCTACGTGCGCGGCTTGGAGGCTGCCCTCTCTGCTTGGTGCCTGAACGTGACCGATCGCTCGCAGCCGGGCGGTCCGCGACCTCAAGGATCCCGTGGATGCAGGGACCGGGTGCGAGCAGCTCACGCGACGTCTTGCGCCACGCAGGGCGCGGTGGCCAGGGCCCAAGCTTGTGTAACCGGACCTCGAGGGCACCCCGAAGCCAGGGGAAGCGACCGTCGGAGAGCGGGTCGAAAGGCGTGGGAGCGCTGTTATGTAAAGTCGCGCAGCGGATGTTTATGAAGAGTTTACAGTGCAATTCAAGGCGCTTCGCAGAGGCCTTGCTTGTCTAGAACCAAGCTACTCATGTTTTCATCCACTTTTTGCGACCGATTTTGTAATGCTAACTGATTTCTTGTCGCTTCTCTCCAGCACTGCACTCACAGCAACGTTTTCTATTACGGTATTTTATGTATGATCAGTAGTTTTGAAATAAATGCATCAAACTGCCTCTTTAGATGAGCACTTACATTGTACAGCAGTAAATAAAAAGAAAAGGATTTGTTTGAAAATAAATGCTGGGAGGTAGTCCATTTAAAACTGCCGTGGATACAAAGCCTTGCTGCTGCAGGAAAAGTTTAGACCATTCATTTCTGACTGACTCATCTTCCTCCTTCTACAAAGATCTGTAATTGAGGGAAGTAGAATGTTGCCACTCAGCAAGGGTTTCTGTTGGGCCTTAAACCTTCTCAGTTATCGGGCGCCTGGGTGGCTCAGTCAGTTGAGGGTCTGCCTTCGGCTCAGATCATGAGTCCAGGCTCAGGGTCCTGGGATCCAGCTGGGCATAGAGCTCCCCACTCAGCGGGGAGTCTGCTTTTTCCCTCTCCCTCTGCCCCTCCCCACCGTTTGTTCTCTTTCTCAAATAAAATCTTTAAAAAAAAAACAAAAAAAACCCCCACTTCTCACTTTTCCCTTTTGTTATCCGCCTCTCTAGGACTCCATTTTAAAATTGCTCTAAAATGCAGTCTGGCCCACAATCCGTACCACCCCTCGAAGTGGGATCTCCTGTCCCTTTCCCAACAGGAAACCAGTTTTAAATACTTAAAGGAAAGCTTAAGGCCTTCCCCTTGTCCCAGGTCTAGAATAAGAGAAATAAGTTACCTTCATGGCAGGCTAGAGAACAGGTCCTAAGACCCCTACATTAGGCTCTAGCAAAACAAGTACTTGTAGTTCCCAGAATATGCCTTTGTAGTTTTATGTTATGTCTTGCAAATTCATTTGTCTTGCTTCTGGCTCTGGGTCCTGGCAAACACCAACTTAGTCTTCAAATTTTATCTCAAAAGCTATCTTCTGTGAAACCTCTGGTTTCTAAAGACAAACTTGGATGCTCCTCCTATTTTCCCTATTGCTTGTGAATGTTAGGCTTATACATTAATGTTATACCAGCAATACTGCTTTCCAGATAGAGGTGTTTTAGCCTTCTTACAATACTGGGAGTTTCATGATGGCAAGGATTGTGTCTTTGCCGTTTTTATGAACCTACCTCAGCAAGCACAGTGTCATCTGTGTAACCCATGTTTATTAAATGAGCAAAATAGCTCTTTTTCTTTTTTCTGTTTCAGAGTTAAGGACTCATGACTGTTTACAGGCTTGTTGCTCAAAAAAGTTCAACAGGTTAAGACCTTGCAGCTCTTAAGCCCTGAGGCTCACCCCAGCTTCTTGGTTTTCCTTTCTTCATCACCGGCTTCAGGCTGCAGCTGGTTCCAAAGCGGCAGCCACTGGCTCAAACCTTTAGGGCTTTTATCCCCTACACTAGTCGCCAAGTGCTACTCAGTGTCTCCAATTCCCCTTCTCTACTGTCCCAAGAAGAAAAGCTGACAAGCCTTACCCCCACCATACTTCTTACGGGGAAGGGAGGTGCAGCTTTCATTGTTTTTTCTTTTGTTTTATTACAGAAAATTTCAAATGTTTCCAAAAGTAGAGGGACTAGCATAATGAAGCTCTATGCATTTATAACTTCAATTCAACAATGATCAAGTCATGGCTAATTTCAAGTATACCCTTGAGCCACTTCCAATGGCCCCTACTGGGTTATTGTAAAGGAAATCCTGGACATATTTTATTTGTAAACATTGTCATATGTACCTTTAGAAGTAAAAACATAATCACAGTATTATCATGATATTTAAATAGTCTACAGTTTTTTAATATCAAATATCCAGTCAGTGCATAAATTTCCTGATTATCTCCTGAATGGTATCTTACATTCAGTTTGTTTGGATCAAGGTTCACACGTTCACACATTGCATTTGGTGGAAATGTCTCTTAAGTTTCCTTTTTTCTTTTTCTTTTTAAAGAATTGGATGATTTGATTTTTCTTATATTGCAATGTTGGTTGCCGTTAATGCTATCATTACCTAAATCTACTGTTTCATTGTTTGCAAAATGGTGATATTCTGTCATTTATTTGATAAATTTTAAAGATTTATTTATTTGGGGGCACCTGGGTGGCTCAGGAGGTTAAGCGTCTGCCTTTGGCTCAGGTCATGATCTGGGGGTCCTGGGATCAAGCCCCACATCAGACTCCACGCTCAGCGGGGAGTCTGCTTCTCCCTCTGCCCCTCCCCACCTCTCTCTCTCTTTGTCTCGCTCTGACTCAAATAAAATAAATAAATAAAATCCTTTTTAAAAAAGATTTTTTTTATTTGTTTGAGAGAGAGAGCATGAGTGAGAGTGGGCAGGCGCGGCGGGGGGGTAAGGGGGGATGGAGGGAGGGGCACAGGGAGAGGGACAGGGAGGAGGAGGAGGAGAGAAGCAAACTACTTGCTGAGCCTGGAGCCTGACTCTGAGCTCTAGGTGCCAGGACCCTGAGATCATGACCTTGAGCCAAAACCAAGAGTCAGTCACTCAACCGACTGAGCCACAATGTGCCCCGTTCCCTCTTCCTGTTATTAACTGGAACACTTCTATAAAGAGACACTTCCCCTCACCAAATAAGGGTTACCTTGAGGTACAATTTACATAGAAGAGCCAGGTTAAATATTTCTTTTATTTATCGGTTTTCAGAATAATGAATCCGTAACTCCCCTAGAAGTCCAATGTGCTATCCATTGCTTTATAGATCCAGGCAGGAGAATTCTTTTTAAATTGTCATTAATGCATACTTGATGAGTTTTAATCCTTTGCTGTTATTATTCTTATTGAAGCCCATATTCATTCCCTCATCACTAGTCCTTGGGAACCTCTTTAGATTGGCTCCTAAATCCATTTGACTCCTTTGATAGCAATCCTGCTTTCCGTAGTCAGCAGAGCATCAGCCATTTCTCTGAGGACACTTGTTTCCCTTTAGTAGGAAGTGCTCTTTAGAGACCACAATCTGTGCCCTGGCTTTTTTTTCTTTTTTCATTAGTCATAATAATACATGTTCATTGTTTTAAAAAATCTGAAGATATAGATAAATTGAAAGAGATTAGAAATACCATAATGATACCAGAGAAATACTGTCAAATGTGGTTACATTCCAGACTTTTTTCTATGTCCCTATAATTTTTTCCTATAAATTTTCTTAAAATGACAAAATACAGTGCTTATTATTTGCCTTTTTAAAACTCAGCAAAGTCTCATGAACATTTTTCTACATCATGAATACATTTCTCCAAGATCATTTTTTTTTAAGATTTTATTTTTTATTTGAGAGAAAGAGAGAGAGAGGGAGAGAGAGCATACAAGCAGGGGGAGAGGCAGAGGCAGAAGGAGAGGGAGAAGGAGGAGCAGACTCCCTGCAGAGCAGGGAGCCTGTCTCAGGGTTTGTCTCGGGGCTCATCGCGGGGCTCAATCCCAGGACCCCCAGGTCATGACCTGAACCAAAGGCAGAGCCACCCAGACGCCTCTCTCCAAGATCATTTAAATGACTACATGGTATTTCATCATTTGAAAGCAGCACTGTTTTGTTTTGTTTTTAACATATAATGTATTATTTGTTTCAGGGGTACAGGTCTGTGATTCATCAGTCTTTTTTTTTTTTAAAGATTTTATTTATTTATTTGACAAAGACATAGCGAGAGGAGGAACACAAGCAGGGGGAGTGGAAGAGGGAGAAGCAGGCTTCCCGTGGAGCAGAGAGCCTGATGTGGGACTTGATCCCAGGACCCTGGGATCATGACCTGAGCCGAAGGCAGACGCTTAACGACTGAGCCACCCGGGCGCCCTGTGATTCATCAGTCTTACACAATTCACAGCACTCACCATAGCACATACCCTCCCCAATGTCCATCACCCAGCCACCCCATCCTTCCCACCCCCCTCGACTCCAGCAACCCTCAGTTTGTTTCCTAAGATTAAGAGTCTCTTATGGTTTGTCTCCCTCTCTGGTTTTGTCTTGTTTCATTTTTCCCTCCCTTCCCCTATGATCCTCTGTCTTGTTTCCCAAATTCCTCATATTAGTGAGATCACATGATAATTGTCCTTCTCTGATTGACTTATTTTGTGAAAGCAGCACTGTTTTTATAATCAATCCTGTTTTGGAACATATAAGTTCTTTTCTATTTTTCCATATTATAAATGAAAATATAATATAAAAAATCTTACAAATTTTTCCTTATTGATGTTACAAATAATATTACAATATTTAAAATATATAATATTTATCATTGAAAATTTACCCAGTCATTTAATGTTTTCCCCCATAGGATCAGTTCCTAAAAGTGAAATTGCTGGACCTAGGGGTAGGTATGTTAAAAAAATTCTTTTTAATGTAATATGTTCTCATGATTCAAAATTCAAAACGTACAAGAATATGCTCACTGCAACCCTTGACCCAGCTACCCCAAACCAAGGCAACTAGTATTACTAGTTTCTTGTAGATTGTTCCAATATAATTCCATACTTATACAACAAATTAATTTATATATTTACCTTCTATCCCTCCTTTTTTCCACAAATGGTGAAATATTATACACTGTTTTGCATGTTGCATTTTTCACTTATTGTTGAAGGTCTTTGCATAATAGTTCATAAAGAGCATCCTTGTCCTTTCTTAGGCTATTATATGGGATCTCATTGTATGTTCAAGTTTTTCCATCATCTATTTAACCAGCCCTTAACTAACAGACATTCAGGTTATTATCAATCTTATGCCATTACAAATAATTTTGTCATAAAGAACCTTGTGCGGGCGCCTGGGTGGCTCAGATGGTTAAGCATCTGCCTTCGGCTCAGGTCATGATCCCAGGGTCCTGGGATCGAGTCCCACATCAGGGTCCCTGCTAGGTGGGGAGCCTGCTTCTCCCTCTGCCTTTCTCTCTCTCTCTCTGACTCTCATGAATAAATAAATAAAACATTAAAAAAAAAAAGAACCTTGTGCATATGTCCCTTTACACATTATCTATAGGATAGATTTCTAGAAGTGGAATTGGTGGGTGCAAAGGTGAGTGCATTTGTAATTTGGGTAGATATTCCCATAATGCTCCCCCACAGAGGTTTTACCAAATTTCATTCCACCCACAGTATCTGAGAGTACTCTCTAAAGTAATGTGTGTCAAACTTGTTGACCTTTGCCAGTTTGACTGGTGAATAATATGAGAATGGTTTTATTTAGGGATATATCTTTTTGCTGCTTTTTTTTTTTTTTAAAGATTTTATTTATTTATTTGAGACAGAGAGAATGAGATACAGAGAGCATGAGAGGGAGGAGG